GTCTATTTTTAAGCAATCTTAGACTTATACTTAACGTTTCTGTCTGTGACTTTTCAAGCCAATTATGATTTACACAAGAGGTACTCCACACTTTGATTTATGTATTGTAGGTAGTTAAGAATATGGTCACTTTTTGTGTAAGGTTTTATGTTGCATGCAACACATTACTTTCACTTTTATGTACAAAAAATTATTATTTTAAATCAACTAAAAGAAATATTTTATGAGTTATAGTCGGTCACCCTTTAAGTAGGTTTCCTGCTGATAGTTAGTGCTGGATTGTTTAGCTGATCACTAAACCTTCATCGATTGTGCTATATCTCATAACTCCATTTAGGTTTATTTCGGATCTGTAGGAAAACCTTCACATAATGTTTTGATCATGACTTTTTACTTACGACTTGCATATTTTTTTTTCATTGTGTTCACCTCAGCATCCTTAAGAGGAATGCTATGCAGAGAATTTGATCTTCCTAATGCTTATCAGCAATTGTCGACCAGTTCTTTCATGCATACCTTGTGTTCTGATGATGTGCTACTGTGTTACCATATGCATCTATATGTAATTGGTTTGAATGGTTAAACAAATGAAACTATTGTCGTGGTCAATATTGCATTACCCAATCTGGACACTCTTACACATATAGAATCCCTTATGCTTATTACAGAGTACAGTATCTAAAATGTTCTAGATCCACATTTACATGTGTTATATTGCGAGATATATTTTATGCTTGCTCTGTATGCCAACGTTCAAGTCCAAATTTTCATCATTCAGTCTCATACAAAGCTTTGAGGGCCCAAAGCTATTGGGGCCATGGGGGTATGTCACACTTATATTTTGACTATTTTTACATTTTTGTATAAATTCATTCAGTCGCATATAAAGCCTCTATCAAAACGTTAATTTGATCATTAAATAATTATATTTTACATTTTAAGATATGTGTCACGTATTTTCCTTTATTCACTTTTTTCTGTTTGTTGTATGAATGTTTTAATATTTTGTTTACTTCATGGTTCAATCTTATTTTTTTATTGTGACATCTGAGTCAAATTGTATATGATTATTTTTTTTTTTGATGTAAGTGTAATTATTTTTTCTCACTATCAGACAGATGTTAACCAATTAATTGTTCAGTTCCAAGATGTCATAATTAAGCGAGTACCTTGTTTTCTCATGTTGAGTTGTTTTCGTTTCAAATTGTTTATAACTGTCATTTAATTATCATTACTCGTTAATTGCCTGTTCACTAATTGTTATCTTAAAATCTTGAGTTTAATTTTTGATTGGTCTATTTTCAAAACCTATTTCTTTAAATTGGGCAAGAGTTGGGAAATGCGCATCCATTCTACGATTGCGCTAATAAAGACATAACATTTATATTTCCCACTCTTCGCCTCTATTTCTAGGTATGTACTTGTATTTAAATTATTTACTTTTATTTTTCTTTTATATAAATTTAATGTATTTTGGAATTAATTAAGATTTGAATTAGTACACTGAAAAAAATTAATTATGGTTTTTGTAAATACGCTTATTGCATTTATATCTTGTTTAATTATTTTGACAATATCAAATATAACTTAGCTAAAGGGAAATAAGACATATCAACAAGTACAACTCTTCTATGTAGGGAGAAAGAATTTTTGTAATTCTTAAATATGTAAATCGTTTTGAGAAGTGCATAATGACGAGCAAAAATTCTATTCTTAAAACTTTGTAAGAGCTGAAAATTTGTTAGCGATATGTAAATAATTATCTCTCTATTCCTAGCTGAATTAATTAATACTTGATTTTTTTATATATGTCTACTATGTCAAATAATTTGTACTTTGTTTTATTGTGAAAGTTGCTATGTTCTTTTGTCACATCCAGTCATCATCAATGTTTTTATGTATATATTCTGAACATTGATTTCAACTTGACTGTGTTACTTTAATTTAAAGATCCATTCTACGATTGCGCTAATAAAGACATAACATTTATATTTCCCACTCTTCGCCTCTATTTCTAGATCAAGGACAAACCTGATTGCAAGGATAGTCTAATTGACAAAAAGAATTGTCTCAATATACGGATCGGGCTCAGTTAACAAAAAAAACATACCCAAACCGTGTGAGACAGCATGCTAAAGACCCCGTTTCAAATCCCGGTTGATCAAATTTTTGGACTTTTTTAAAATTGCTAAATCATATTAAGCATCGGAAATGAAGTTTTGACATACACATGTATAGCGTGTACAAAATATTATTGTGTGATTAATATTTTATTTTAATTAAAAGAATCTTCATACATCAATCATGTATACACATTTAAAGAGTAAGATGTCAAATCTTTGTTTTTATGGACTTTGATATTGAATACTGTTCGTTATCTCCATATCCACTGTGCCATTTTTACTTGCTTCAGTGCAATTTTTTAATTGCTTTACTACATAATTTAATAGATCTGCAAATCTGGGAAAGAAGGGAGGGTTTTACCCACCAATTTGATCATATTTCAAAATTTTAAAATTTTATCTTCAATTTTATTTCATCAGAAATGGTTGATTAATACCAAAGATTAAGGCTCAAAGCATTAATTTATTTTCATACTTTGTAGTCCCCCCCTCTTTACCCCTGACCCAGGGGCCCTGAAATTAAGCATTATTGAAAAAGCACCTTTCTTCATCATAGATATATACTTACCTGGTAGATCTTTGGCATAATACCCTGGAGCAAATGAAAAAAATTTCAATGAATTCATGCATTTTCACCATATATAATCATTAGAGCCCCGCCCTAACACTAGAACGTATGATCCAGGCGCCGTTAAATTCACAAATTTGGAAAACGGATCTTTCCTCATCATAAGTATGTACATAGTTCATTTGTTTAAGACCCACAAGCAGAGGAGAAGCTCATATTTTTAAAGAATTTACAGACCTTTTTACCCATAATATTGTCTCTCAGTATTTTTGATTAGATTTGTCCGTGAGATTTGGCATTTGCCATTAAGATTTCACTTTCCATCGATTTCATATATCTTCAAAGAGAAAACTGCTTTTCTGATTAGAAAAAAAATGGTTTAACAACATGGTCTTTGTTAATTTATAATACTACAGCGTTTTGGCAACCTTACATCAATTGTATGTCTGAAATCTTTTTTTAGCAATTTAAAAGCGTGAAACTGAGACAGATCATAACGAAAACTAACTGCTTAATTCCAAACGAACGTATTTCCAATTTCCGTATGTTCATAATCGCAAAACGTGAGACGTATTTTAGACTAAAATCCGTACAAAATACGGCGAAATCGTAAGCGTAAACAGGTCTGAATTTATTAATTTTCACTTATAATCAATAGTGCCCCATCCCAACCGCTGACCTTGGGGCCATGAAATTCACAATTATGAAAGAGCTAGGCAGCCTTATTCAACATAATTATGTATTTCGTTGGTTTATTTAATACCCTCGAGCAGAGAAGATTTTCAAAGAAATAATGCAATTTTAATATAATTATAATTTATTTAGCCCCGCCCTAATACTAGAACCCCTCACCCTGGGGTCATGAATTTCACAGTTTTGGTAGAGGACAATTACAATCATGCCAACAGTTTGACTGCTTGATGTCCAGGAGTAAAGAAGATTTTTAAAGATTGTTAAATTTTAGTGGTTTTTGAGTGGGTGCAGGGAAGAAGCTGAAAATGTTCAAATGTTAACACAACACCGCACGACAACGGATGAAAACGGATAGCAATAGGTGACCTGAAAGCCCATTCTTCTACGCATATTTGGTGATAATTTAAAATATTTCGAGTGCATTGACGAAGGTTTATGTTAATTGTATTAAGAAAGATTAATAATAATTTTTAAATAGTAAATTTTTGACTAGTGGTTACCGTCTTACCAAAATGTGAATTACCCAAACTCATAAAATAAGTAATTGCCATATGGTAAATTTAAAATGGAAAAGGTTTACAATTAATTAACCCCTTCACTTCCGTACCGGTCAAATTGACCGGTGGCGCGTTAAAACAGGACTTCGCGAAAATAAGATCTCCGTATCTATTTTGTGGTAGCATGAAGATATATAAGCTATATATCATCTTTTTGGAAATTTTCTCTACTTTTAAAATATCTAAAAAGATTATATCTTGATTGCCGGTATTTAATCGATTTTACGTTGTAAAGACAAACGAGACTTTTTGAAAATGGCGTAATTTTCCAAAGCGATTGCCGATTTTCCAGACGATTGACAATTTTTTTCCTGATTAACTTTATAAGAAAGCATGGTATATTCTTAAAGCATATTTTCTCTACTTTTAAAATATGTAAAAATTATTGTTATTACTTTAAGGTATATTTTAAAAACGAGAATTTTCTTGCACTTATGTTTTTTTTCTCGATTTTATTCGTAATATTTAAACAAAGCTCAGTTTTACGTTTATTTCTGTGTTGAAATAGGGAAAACAAAATAAAGCTGGTAAAAGTAGAGAAAATTTCCTTTCCAACAAGCCCTTATAGTTTTTCTTACGCTCAGTATTTTCTTAATTACGATAATTTGAATTGGTGACCTTTGCATAGTTTTTATGGAAAAATCGGTCAATATTTACATGTAACGTCAAGGTCGATATTGTTGCGTCTTACTCGAAACAACAAATTCTTTTATAAGACTTTTTTGACCATTTAAATATATTTTTCTTTAAATAAATGCATAATACAAAAAAAAAAAAAAAAAAAAAAAATAGATTGCAAAAAACAAATATATACTAGTTCGTTCTGCCTTTTGTGAAGTGAATGTTGATTTATTCATCTACATGTACATGTAATGATGTATATTTTATGAAGTGACATAAAAATTGTAGATTTCCAAAACGTCGATCTTTACTTAAAAAAAAATCAATCAGATTTTTAATATTGTTGTATCTTGTTATACTGTATACTTATTAATTTGCAATTTAATTAGATCTATATTTAACAATACAAAAACTCGCATTTATAAATAAAGACGACTCATCACTGTATGAGTTGATACGAATTGAAATAAACACGTGTTTCCGCTTTGGTGTAAACATGATGGTGATCCGAAATCTGAACGTCAATTTTCATGATTATTTCACGACGAAGATCATCACATCAATGAATCAAATAATACGGACATGCCTTTGGTATTAGCAGGTAAGAATACGTGTATATTGACTGAAAAGTTTAAGTTTAAAACGCATTAGTTCACGTTCAAAAGAAAACTAAATGTACACATGTACTAGATCTTTATGTTTCAGTGTGCGTGTTTCGTATCGTTCAGCCAATTTTGCATTGCTTTTGAACTTTGATGCTTTTGACAATCACTCGTAAGTTCAAAGTAAAATCAAAGTTGTCATAATAATGGATAGTTGTTTTCAGTATCTATGTACCAGTGTGTACATATACCACTTTCACATTGAAATTTTAGGGTGCTTTCAGCATATTCAACAATACTTTCATCTGTGAATACCCACTTTCTAAGCCCACCATGAACTACGAAGGTCAATTAATATGTAAGGACACCAATGAACAGGTAAATTTTTGTTTTGGTATTGAAAATTTCTGTATTTCTAAAATTTCAAAAAATAAAGTCTAATTTCATTTGTGTCATTCTCATGATATCGCATTCATACAAGTTTATAAACATTTGATTTATATTTTGAAAAATAAGTGTTTGAAACACATAATACTTATGATGCTTGATTATTCATACAGACACATTATTTAAACATGTAATATCTATCTGAATGAATGCCGATATATGGAACAAGCTGTTTTTATAGACTGCTGTTGTATTTCCAATCTGCATAAAGTATGTGGTTAGAATTTCTATTTTCTCAGTTTTTCAGACACTTTCCAATTATCCTACATCATATACATGGATGGTCAAACTCACTGGATGGTTTATCAACACTCCCATGCTCACGAACAGCCTTGCGCCAGGAATTTTGCCCTGAAGTAACATTGCAGTCTATTGTCTCCTTTCTTTTTACAACCCTGGCAGCCATGCAGGTATGAGAAGAACTAGTAAGTTGTTAGAACTTGTTTCTTATCCTTTTGCTTGTCAATAAAATATGTTCAAAACAAAACAAATCTATGAAAGCCATGAAGGGACATAGAATTTTTAAAATTTATTAAAGTAAACCGAGTTCTTGATTTATACAATCCGTTCTCTCAGATTGACAATCTGTAAGTGTTATAACGAATTGCCAATTCATTCTCACAGATTATCAATTCGTTCCCTCAAATTACACAATCCGTTATCTCAGATGTATAATTCATTCTTTTAATTTAAATGATTCATTCCCTCGGAATGTAAACCCTTCCCATGATTTCGTTTAAATTATTTATCTGTACATATCGGATATGGTAATACATGTTTAAAAATAGAATATTGTAGTATTTTACATCCTAACTTTTATTACATATTACGGTCCAAAATGAGAAAAATGCATGAACATTTTCAAATCCATGTGCTAGTACTGATATTTGTACAACAAAAAATTTTAGATTAGAATAATTGAAAGTCCTAGATAGTAAAAGTGAATATGGGTCTTGTGTAATCATAATATTTCTAAAATAAATATACGTTGAATTAGTTATGAAAGAGGTTGGAAACGACCAGTTGCTGAAACAAAATAAATAGAACGCACTTATTGATTAAAATGGTTGGATGTTTCTGTACATATGAAATTCAAGAGCACAGATTTCCAAAATCATAAGACTGACGTTGTAACAAATCAAGATGTTGAATTATCAATCTGTGAAAACAAATTACCGGTATGTAATTCGAGATCTCAAATTATGAATCAAGGGGGCGAATTAGTAATCCTTAAGATCGGATTGTGTAATTCGAGATCTCATATTATAAATCGAGGGAACAATTTAGTAATCTGTGGGATTAGATTGTCTAATTCGATTCGATATCATTTTTTACTTTTTTGAAAAATTTACGTGTCCCTTCCTGGCTTTCGTAGCAATCTAATGCCAGATTTTTTTACATGTTGCGATAGCGTAAACAGAGGTCTGGCTTTAGTCAGATTGCCATATATGCTATTTGTTTTAGTTCAGTAATTTTACCATGATGGTTTACTACAAGGTTGTTGAATTATCAGTCCTGATACATTGACTTAACAATATCATTTAAATACTTGAATCACATAATGAATTCAATTTTAATATTAAAAGGAAAATCAAATGTAGTAATTTTAGCATTCTTAATTTTATTTATAAATATAAATTTATATACACAATGACATGTATCTGTTTCAAAATACTTAAATCTTTTACAGGATAGAAGCTGATCACTTGTACCTGACAGCAAATAATGTCTTGGACAAGTCAAAGAATTTCCTCCAGTCTTACAGAGAAATGACAGTTGATAAAAGAATGGTGGACACAAAGTAAAAGTGCACTTCAACATTTTGTTGAAGATTTCAGTCTGATTTGGAATTCATCTTGCAATATTTCTGGATTTGTATATTTGGATATAAGCGTCGAATTTTCAACTTATTGACTAAACAGTTTTGCATTAAATATTGCCAATGCTATCTATTATTATTATTTCCCTCCAAGATAACATGTCAAGTCTTTATTGTACCCCTTAAGCTCTGTTATACCAGAAAAATCTTGTAATGAAATCATTTTGTTTTTTTTTTCTTTTTAAATTAAATCCATGAAAATAAAGATTATTTTTAATGGCATCAAGAGAATGGATTTCTTGTTTAACAAAAAGATAGTATACATGTTTTGCTAGGGCTTTGTAAGAAGCAGACCAGAATTCTTTGCTTGCAAATTTTGTCATTCGCCATTTTTATTACGTCAACTATTAGATGATTTATCCATGTTTGAAGCATTTCAAAATTGATATTTACTTACAGTTTAAAGCAGAATTCTGTACTGATATGACCTTGACCCCCTGAAGAACAAGAGTGTCAAGGTCAATTGTTATACAAAAATGTTCTTTCATCTTTATGGCCCATATCTTACAAAAAGTGTCTAGAATGTGTCCAGAATGTGAAATAACAAACATGTATATAGCCAAAAACTTTAAAATGATGTTGCTTAGCAACCACTTAAAGGTCATTAAACAGATATTTGAACTAAAATGATACATGGATATTGCAGTTCTGATCCCTTCTTGAGAGTATATTCAGAATTTTTCATTTCAGCATCCATTGTGTAAAATTATGGCAAGAATATTGAAAAGTGTTGAAAAAAATTGATGAAACTTTTGCACTTATTTGACCTTTGACCTCCTAAAAATAGTTCTAATGAGGTCAAACTTTAAGACAATTTATCTGTTGTATGTCCCTTGTAATTTTATGACCTCACATCTAACTTTTTTATACGTGCTGGGATGCATAAATGTGTCTAGGATGAGTAAAAAATGAAAATTTCTGCCCGAAAATTAAAGAAATCTATGTTGCTTAGCAACCCCTTTTAAGTAGTTATATGCAGAATTGAAAAAAAAGTTTATGTGTTTCATGTAGTACAGTGTAATGCTCTTTTGTGGGTATATCCCAAATTTCCTATTTCAACATACATCATACTTAATATTTAGCTTAAAGATGAAAAAGTATCAAAAAATTCCATAAAATTTTGCACTTAATTGACCTTTGACCTCAATTTTTACTAATAAGGTCAAAGGTTGAGTATCTAAACAGTCATAAAATATCATCTGTAAGAAATTTCCTACAAAATGGTATGCATTATGCTTAGCTTTCCCCTTGGATAAAAAAGTTAGAAATAATTTAATAATGCCATGTCAAAAGGCCTCCAAAATCACGTAAAATGCGCCGGAAGAGAAAGGGTTAAAATTATAGTTTTGTTTATAAAGTATTTTGAAATGCTTATATAACAAATTAGAAATATCGTGAAAATGCAGGTTTTAATCACACTGTAGTACATCACTAAAACCCTACGAGAATAAATATCTGCATTGCTTATACATCCTTATCGTTAAGAATTGATTCTGCTGTGACTCAGAAAAAATTAATCTTCAAACATTAACAAGGATTTATGTTTATTCAAATGACAGCACAGAGTCAATGCTATCCTCTTGATTGTCAGTGTGATGATAATGCTTTAATCTACAGACCACATGTATTTTTGCGCGCTTTTGCTCAGCTTTATGTTCTTTATATTACTTTTATTGATATATATAATGATATACTATATATATAATGATATACTATATATATATCTGATATACTTGATATTACTATATTCCACATCACGTACTCCATTTCATATAGCATACGATATATTGTTGAAATATATACTGGTCATTAGAGATTGTGCAGCTAGGCTTGTATCTGGTGACATCTGCTATTAATTCTTGCCATTACGACCTCTGACGGAAGCAGAGGCAGCATTAGTATGTATTCAGGTAACAGTAAAGGAAATGTAGAACTATTTGAGTAAAATTATAAGGTTTTGGATTGAGACTAGTTTTAATGAATTGAAATCATGTTTGAGCAATTTTATCATAAGCCAACTACTTGTGTGCAAGTATGGAAATGTATTTAAATCCAGTTATTCAGTCATCGATTTATACATCCAATCACCTAGACTGTTACTCGTTGCCTCTTAAAAATCTACTGCTGAAGTCGGACACTATAAGACTTTCGCTGGATTTCAAATATAGACCTGTAAACTATTAGTAATTTAATAAGATATGTTTCTGAATGAAACATGTGGAGATAACGAACATATAATGTCCATTAAACATTACAAAATAGGAGCAGAGCAAACACGGACCTCAAAAACATAAGAGGTGGGATCAGGTGCCATGGAAGAGTGAACATCCCCGTCACACCTACCGTGTGCTCCTTGTCATGTTCGGGTGGAAAAAAGATCAAACTAATGAAAATCAGAAGAGAAATGATTGCTTTACCACAAACCTATATAAGACGAAATTTAAAGACACGTCTTATGACAAATACTTCATTCTTACATATATATATAGATATAGATATAGATATATATATATATATATATATATATAAGTACGTGTAACTTATAAAGAAAAAAATATTTGCAGGAGGTTAAGCCGTCGTTTTTTTTATGCTATACGTGTTACTTCGAGATATTGAATACTCGTAAACCAATTATTTAACTTTTTCTCGCAAATAATAATTACCGCGAATCATTTACTTTGCTTTGTATTTTAAGAGAATAATTTCTTTTGCAATTAACAATGAATGTAAATATAATTCGGGGGGGGGGGTATTTTTGTTTTATAAATTATTTTTTTCTTTCTTGTTTTTGTTTTTCTTTTTTTTTTGCAAAATCGTAACGACCTAGCGCAGAATGGGTTTGACCCCTAATTAGGTATAAAGATGAGTTGGCATGGAGCTTACACATAAATTTCATCATTCCAAAGAAATTTTATAAAAGAAATTATGGATATTTATTCAAAATATGACAACAACAACAACAAAGAGTTTAGCACTGCTGATACATATCAAGCAAAGTAATGAAGAAATGTCACAGTCAGTTATTAAACCACATGTAAAGCTGTACAATTTTTGTAACAACTTTACTACTGCAGATCTCAACTTGTTCAAAATATGACCTAAACAATAAAAGAGTTAAGCACTGCTTATAAATACCAATATATACTTTATATATACACAGATAATAGACATGTATATAATATTTTAAAGCAAAAATAAAAAATCGACAAATGCGTTATACTGGAATTTTCACACAATTTAGCAGATGTGAAGCGAAACAGATTATCTTGCAAATACCCCCCCCCCCAAAAAAAAGAACAGAAAAAGGCAATGCTCACTAATAATACTCCCGCTCTGATGTGAATATGAATTATCATGTTAATAAACATAAGTTCAGTTAAGGGTATATGCACAGATAAATAGGAAGTTGACATCAGATTCATATGCAAACAAATTCCACTGTACTTCATGCCTTAACAAAGTATATAGCAACATTTCAAGCATCTGCGATGAGTAGTTGCTGAGAAAGCTGCGATGAAAACTTGTTATGTATGAAACAGACAGATGCTTGTACAAACAGGATGTTGACATCAGATTTGAACAAAAATGAATCCCACCATATAGCATGCCTCAGAAAAGATTGTGTTAAAATTTCAAGCATCTGCAATAAGGAGTTGATGAGAAAACTGTGACGACAATTTGTTATGTATGTAACAGGTATGGAACGGACATATGCACGGACAAACAGGAAGTTGACATCGGATTTAAACAAACATGGATGTCATCAGGTAGCATGCCTCAGAGAAGATTGTGTTAAAATTTCAAGCATGTGCGATGAGTATAGTTGCTGAGAAAACTGTTTCGAAAATTTGTTATGTATGTAACATGTATTAAACGGAAAGACGCAAGGATAAACAGGTAGCTGACATCGGATTTGACCTAAAATAAATCCTACCATATGACACGCCTCAGAGAAGATTGTGTTAAAATTTCAAGCATTAGCGATGAGTAGTCGCTTAAAAAACTGCGACCAAAATTTGTTACGGACAGACAGACAGACACACAAGGGTTAAACAGTATACCCCCTTCTGCTTCGGAGCGGGGGTTATAAGAATACTGGTTGTTAAAGAGATCATGCAAGAAAATTAAGAATATTGAATGTACTCTATATGTGAGATGAGAAAATGCTCTCATGACTGTCTGTTTTGATAAATATTAATGTAATATCTTTGAATCAGTACATACATGTAGAAAAGGGAATAAAAATAGTAACATAATTGTTTTCAGATCAGCACTTCTTTGTAAACAATGTTTTCAGTTGGGTATTATCTATTGGTAGATAATATATCTGTTAAAATAACTGTGACTGCCTGAAAGGAATGTACCCTTGACAAAGCTTCACGTGTATATAACTGTCCATGAGAAAAAAAAAACCGGGCGGGACTGAATGATTAAGTATATTCCCGGCACGGGTGGTAATACGCGCAAGATTGTAAAATCTGAAGATTGCTGATGATTTCCGGATTTTTTTTAAGGAATTTTCGTTGATTATTAATTAGCAAAGCTTAATATTGAGAAAAAATAAAAACAAATTGTTAATCTTCAAATACCAATGATGTTTAAAAACAAAAGACAGTACTCTTCCGATTTTTCGGTATCAAAGGCCAAAAATACGATCCTATGATTTTAATAGAGTAGTAGATATATTACGTTGAAATGTGAATAGCACCTATGTGTCCATTCAACACGATATCCCTTATCAAACTTAAAAAACCGCAAGATATCATATCGACAACCCCAATAAAGTGATTTCCCCAAAGAATAAAGAACATCTAATCACTTTATATTGATGAGGAAAAATTAATTGGATATCCTGTAGGAAGCATTAATTGAATGAAATATATGAAGATAACGAACAGTATTCTAGCACAAAAGTCTATATAACAATATAAAATATGTGCAGAGCCAACACGGAACTCCAAAACATAAGAGGTGAGATCAGGTGCCATGGAGGAGTGAGGATCCACTTCCGACCGGTCACATCCGCCGTGTGCTCCTTGTCATGATCGGCAAGTAACGGAAAAATCAGTCGTCAATTTAGTGTGTACATGTAAATAATGGACTAACAATTTGTATGAAAATCGTCACAATTTGTATGAAAATCGTCAGTCAACATTTGACTTTATGATAAAATATGTTTAAAAACAAGGTCACTGTATCGACCATAGAACTTACGAAATGATCACTTAAAACGAGACAGCTAATATTCATCAACGTATTTGTTAATAACATCTTATTAGAAATTGTAAATACGTAGAGCATGCCGTTGCGTATCAACATTGAATTAACTGAGAGATGTAAACTTCAATGCAGGTGATATTGTTGCATAAGTTAGGGGAGTTGACGATTGAAAAGTTAAATAAGTCATTACATTTATCATAAAGCTTGGATGTTAGATTTCAATTAACGTCTTTTTCAAGTAAACTAACACCTTAAAAATGACAATATCAAATACAGTGTATCTTACAACAAGAGGCCCACGGGCCTTATAGGTCACCTGAGTATCATGTAACAACTTTCCAGCGATTGTATTTGGTTCATGTTTTAATCCAAAAGCCATGAAATTCAAAAACTTTGAAAGAGGCACCATTGCTTATCAAAGGGCAGATTTCAAAGCATTAATAAAATTATTTTTAGTCAAAGTACCCCACTGGTACCCCTGACCCAGCAGCCCTGAAATTATCTATTTTGAAAGAGGCCGCTTTCTTCATTATAAGGCCAGCATTCTTTTTTATGTTTAGGTTTAGTTATGAACATGAGAATAAAAAAGTCCCGAAGGAGAAGGGAATAAATTTATTAACACTTGTA